ATTATGGTTTATAAAATGAATACTTACGTTTTAAAAATTATAATTATTCATTTTGAAAAATTGTAATCTGTTTTTAAAATCTTAAAATATGGTATATGTGAAAAATATATTTTTCAAAATAGTGATTTTTGTATCTGTTTTTCTTTTAAATTGGATGTAAATAAAATGAAAGGGAGTAAACTAGAACTTTTGTAGATGGTGACCGGATATAAATGTATATATATAAAGTTTATGCCCCTTGTGTTTAGACATGATTGTCAAACTAGCTACAAGAATTCTAAGTTAGGTTGCACCATGAGTTTCTAGTTAATTTTACGCGTGGAGTTATTTCATGATATTGCAATTCATTTATTTTGCAAAAAAATAAAAGTAAAATAAGAAAAAATACATTTGATTATGTTTTTCTTATATAAGCTTTGAATACAAATTAAGCACCAACAAATAGTCCGTAACTCCATATATAAAATTCTTTGATACATCATACATGTTTTTACTTGTCAGTAAAAAAACACTCAGCCATTATATTATCTGCGTACCATGTAAACGTTAGATCGTTCATTTATAGACTTAAAGCATCTGCATCAGTGAACTCCTCTTGGAATTCATGTTTTTAATTTTTTATCATTATTATTTTTTATTATTTGATTTTTTTTTATAAAAATAATAATAATAATCGAACCAATAGCTGGCCGACATATGTCATGAACAGTGTAACTCATTAGACAGAGATTCACTGGAAAGAACTCGGAAGAGATGGGACTCAACACTATTTATTATTTTAATATTTTTTTTTTTTGGAAATCTGTGTAAATTCCATGGAGATTCACTGATGCAGATGCTCTTACGGTCTATAGATAAACGTACCATAACAATTTCAAAACTCTTTTATTTCATGTGGATTAGATTCATAGCCACAGCCCTGATACGAAGATTTGTATTTTCACATACACATAATACAAGAGCTAGCTAATCATCCGCCACAAGACAAGAGAAAAAGGTGATTAGATGTATAATATGGTGCTTTGGACATAAACCACATAATTTATTATTAATATATATGAAAGATTTCTTTTGTTCACTGAATTGGTCTTCTTTTGGTTTCCTGATCCTCCAACAAAACAATCAAATGATATAGTTTGTTTGCCTTGAATATATCATTGAGAAGACAAGAACATTAGTGCTACGTTTATATAGCAATTTAAATAAATGATCGTTAACAAATCTTAATAAATAGTTCTTGCTCTAAGAAAAATGTTTTGTGCAATATAGTTGTTGTTGATTACTCCTATAAGGGGTTCTACAATGCCTAATAGCACCCCAAAACCTAATCATACCTGTCACCTATGTGTTAATACACACCTACTCTTAGTCGCAATTTGTGGATCAGGATAATATGACTAACAAGTTAAATGGAGGTTTCAGTTAGTTCAATACAATTATTTGTGTTTACATTTTCTTTACTGAGAATGCATAATAACAATAATAATATTTAGTGTTTGCATAATGAAATTATAATAATTTTCTTTGTAAAAATCCTTAAAAAAAATGTTTTACGATCAATACAATAGCTTTGTATCTACATGTAACATAAAATAAAAAGATAACACATACCCCCTAAAAAGGTCAGAGCTTAGATTCTAAACTTAAGTCCGATTTCAAACTTATTAGTTGTGAAAAAAATTATTAGTTTTGTGTCTAAGAGAACGATTGTTTGTTAACATTTATGTTTACATTTTAGTGTTTATATATATATATATATTTATATTTTTGTTTCAAATATATATATTTATTAATAGAAACCATAACTTTAACAAAGTGTAGCAAGTTTCGTCTTGTTCTTTTTTCTTTTCCCACTCGTTTGTAGATAAACCTTCAATTTTAATCAAGTTCACATTACAAATAAAAAAAGTAGCGACGTTTAGACCAATGGATGAGTAGAACAACAAAACACAATCTTATAAATATGTCCCAGGGTTAATGCAAGGTTTGGCCAATGAGACTCATTCCTGAAAACAAATCTTTGATACTTAAATCAAACTATTATAAGGTTTTTTTCTCTTTAATGAACTGTGGCAAACATTTGAATGTATATTCTATACAAGTTAAAAAAGAGAGTTTATAAGAAAAGCTATATAGTGACTATCACGAACAGTTTGAGCTAAAATCTAATAGGCTAAAACACATTCATTAATAGACAAAGTGATTTGTTTTCTTCCCCTAAATAGACACATAATCTGTTTTCTTACCCTAAATAGTATATAGATAACTTTATACAAGTAAAAAGCATATGTTGAAGATTTTGCTATAGGATCTCTTTGCATTAATTAACCCCAAAACCAATTGATGCCAGAAATAAAATACATTGTAATATTTCATTGGTGATAATGGAGCTCATATGGTCTAGAAACTAACACACGAGTATATAGGCGATTGGTAAGTAAGTTTCAAACTTAAAAATGAAAACTGGAGGAGAAAGAAGACATAGTTTTCTGAAACAAAAGAAAGAAAATAACCCATCACTGCAGAAAAAGGTATCTCTATAATAATTGAAGACAAGAGAAACCTAATGTCAACGAACTAGCCAATGAGCCCAACTCCACAATCACCACCTCAACATTCTATCTTGGGACCATTTCTCTCTTTTTCTAATATCAACAAGTTGAAATTGAAATATCTATTTATATAACATGGTGTAATACTAATGGATCCTAGATGGTAATTCGGCATATTTCGACTTAAAATCCAATTTATGCCATAATGTTTTTTTAGATTGACAAAAAAAAAAAAAGAGATGGACAATTGAGATTCATGTATCACATAGAGTAATGATTAAAATACGTTTGTGGAGTCTAACCTTATTCTTTTGCGGCAATGGTGGTGGTTTAATATCATATTGGGCGCATCATGATGCCATTTAAACAGTCTTAATGCCCCAACTATCTTTTTATTGCAATCTTCACGGCGATTTACCTGTGGAATTATTATAAATGAAACTTTTGAGTGGAAAGTGACACTACGTTGAGACCTGCAAAAACTCGACAAGGCCTAAATAAACAACTAAAAAGAATTCAACCCACAGAACAATAAACCTTTACAAAGAAAAAACCAACAGCTTAGTGCCACTAAGTTGATAAAATGTTCAATAATGTTGCTGTACGGAAATGGACTCACTTGGGTCTACTGAATTGCATGCTGTTCTTTGATAATGCATTGATCCTCTAGAACAAGAAATAGAAGAATATAGCACTTATGTTTGACAAAAACAGCTTGATGTATTCATGATACTGACCGGTTAAGCTTAGCATGAAGAGAGGTTCTCGCTACATTGTTAACCTTCTTTCATTTATGTAATCAAACCGAAATAAACGACTTCTCCTACTTGGTGCGGGTCAAAATCTAGTTAACTCATTAAACATTTAGTAGAATTCTTCTTCAGCAGTTTCTTTTGTATTAATTTCCACTACATAGACCAATGTCTTAATGTGAGCTATGCACAAAAAAAAGTAAAGGTGAATTAGCCAATGCCCCCAATAATTGGGACAGTGTAATCATGTATATATATAAAAGAAAATAATAAAGCGAATAGAATGTAACACTGCACAATGAAGGAAAAAAAGAGATTCAAAAAGGAGTAATAATGTTTAGACCACTGGTTTTCATTGCACACCAAGTCACATAAGACAGATACACGACGAAGGGTAGTTATTCACTGCAAATCTATTGACATAATTGGCTACTGTAAACTTTTCGTTTCATAGACTCGTTGAGTCATTATATCCTACGACTATATTTGTTTGATGCCACTTGATATATTACTATAAAGAAAGATTAAAAAAAAAAGATAAACCTATCAGTGTACGACACTCCTGTTCAAATGAACAACAAAATCAATTAATAAATTTATTCGCGGTGCCTCCTTTGTTCAAACTGTCACTCGACTACCCACATTACAGTCTTGTTTCAGCCTTTGCTTCCAACTGTGTATGCAAGGCCCCTACATCTTTCAATCACACAACAAAAAGAACATGACGTATACGATTTGAAAACACAATACATACCCACAAAGTCAACACTAGACATTACACATACTAGTATTCGTTTTTCAACTTATCTTTCTTTTGAGCTATTCTTTCTTTTAATATGATAACTTTGAGGCAAAGAGCACATATCACAACTAAGGTTTAATTACTCTTGAAGAAAAATCATGACAAGGGCTTACTCGGTATGTGAGGACCACCAATAACTACAGAAGACTAGAATCTTTTATATGCCCACTTCAATATGTCATGCTGAAACTTATGACACATAGAAAAACATTTATATGCAACAAGATTATTATTTTCAACTAATAATCTGGAACAAGAAATTCTTGGTTACATCATGTACGTTTCAGGCAGATCTTAATCCACCCTGAAAGGCATAGTAGCCAATGTTGATGTTTGGTCCTAAGGAGTACTTAGTTCCAAATTTAATAGTCAAAACAACAAATACTGCAAGAGCTGACAAGATAAACTGATGCAAAAAATGGTCCAATATGCATGATCCAATGAGGTCACTAGAGTGAGTGTAGAGGGAGGTGGGCAAGATTCTCTTCCCTCATACTGAGCTCAAGTACCATGAGAGACCCAAGTAGGGGCCCTACTGTACATGCTCTGACACTAAGTGTAGCCAAGAGACAAAGTAATAACAAGAAGAAAAAAAAACTATGGAGTAAAACAAAATATTTTTTTTAGTAACTTTCATCTATAAAGTATGCAACACAAAATAAAAACGTCATAAGGATGTCTTAATTAAGAGAAACAGACAAAAAGTAATGGCATTACAGCTATATTGTGAGAACAAGTATATGTGGACTGTACCGCCCAAAACTTTCCTTTAAATTCTCTTCTCTTCACTCTTTTCTTTCTTGAGAGTTCTCTAAACCTCAAGTTTACCTCTACTTCCTCTATATATCATCCCACCTATCAGTCTTTTCAATTTCTTTTCAAGAAAGTAAAAAAATGGGATTGACCTCATCCTTGAGAAGAAATAACAAGAGTTTCCTCAGAATCTTCATGATCTTGGTTCTAAGCTGTATACCAGGTAGAACCAATCTTTGTTCCAATAATTCTGTTACCACCCCAATAGATTTACCTCCAGATATTCGTTCCTCATTAGACACACTAGCTTTGGAGGGTTACATAAGCTTTGATGATGTCCACAATGCTTCCAAGGACTTTGGCAACAGATACCAGTTACCACCTCTGGCAATTCTCCATCCAAGGTCAGTTTCTGATATTTCAACAATGGTGAGGCATATAGTACATCTTGGCTCCACCTCAAATCTTACAGTAGCAGCCAGAGGCCATGGTCACTCGCTTCAAGGACAAGCTCTAGCTCATCAAGGTGTTGTCATCAACATGGAGTCACTTAGAAGTCCTGACATCAAGATTCATAATGGGAAACAGCCGTATGTTGATGTCTCAGGTGGTGAATCATGGATCAATATTCTAAGGGAGACTCTAAAATACGGTCTTTCACCAAAGTCATGGACTGATTACCTTCATCTCACTGTTGGAGGTACTCTTTCTAACGCTGGGATCAGTGGTCAAGCCTTCAAATATGGACCCCAAATCAACAACGTCTACCAGCTAGAGATTGTCACAGGTATTTCATTCATGCTAATATATCTCTATGTAGTCTCAAAAATATATGCACCTGAAAAGTATATGAAACTATGTAAGAGCGCGTTAAACATGCAATGCCTGAAAGTTTCTGCAAACAGAAACTATATAAACAAGAGCAATAGATAAACAGTATATTCCACATACTGAATCAGGGAAAGGAGAAGTCATGACATGTTCTGAGAAGCAAAACTCTGAACTTTTCTACAGTATTCTTGGGGGGCTTGGACAGTTTGGCATAATCACCAGGGCAAGGATAGCTCTTGGACCTGCACCACATATGGTAAGGTTTCATCTTTAGCATGGCTATTGTGAAATGATTTAAAGCACTAGTTTCTTGACACATGGATATTTTTTTTTTGTTTTTAATAGGTTAAATGGATCAGAGTACTATATTCAGACTTCTCTGCATTTTCAAGGGACCAAGAAAGTTTAATTACCAAGAAAAATGGTTTTGACTATGTTGAAGGGTTTGTGACAGTCAATAGAAGTGACCTCCTTAATAACTGGAGGTCATCATTTAGTCCTAATGACTCCACAGGAGCAAACCAGTTCAAGTCAGAAGGAAAAACTCTGTACTGTCTAGAAGTTGTGAAATATTTCAACACAGAAGAAGCTGACTCTATGCATCAGGTGAGATCTGAAAGCAATATGGAGACAATCACTACTATACTCTCTAGATTTGCTAACATAGCAGGAATGGTCGCCCTGCAGGAAACTGAGAAGTTACTTTCAGAGTTGAGTTATATTCCATCTACTTTGTTCTCATCTGAAGTGCCATACATTGAGTTTCTGGACCGTGTGCATATTGCTGAGATAAAACTGAGAGCAAAGGGTTTATGGGAGGTTCCACATCCCTGGCTAAATCTCCTGATTCCCAAGAGCAGAATTTATGAGTTTGCTACAGAAGTTTTCAACAACATTCTCACAAGCAACAACAACGGTCCTATCCTTATCTATCCAGTCAATCAATCTAAGTAAGTGGGCATATTCTTCCAATGATTCAGCAAACTAAACTTTGCTAACCATATTCTACAACACTTGTTTTTGGTTGCAGATGGAACAAACATACATCTTTGATCACTCCAGATGAAGATATCATCTACCTTGTGGCGTTTCTCCCCTCTGCAGTGCCAAAATCCTCAGGGAAGAATGATTTGGAGTACCTTTTGAGACAAAACCAAAGAGTGCTTAACTTCTGCGCAGAAGCAAACATCAACGTGAAGCAGTACTTGCCCCATTACGAGATTCAAAGAGAGTGGAGATCACACTTTGGAAACAGATGGGAAACGTTTGCAAAGAGGAAACATGAGTATGACCCTCTGGCGATTCTAGCACCTGGTCAGAGAATTTTCCAAAAGGCAACACAGTTATCTCAAATCCAACTTCTCTAAGCCAAAAAAGGCAACATGATATACAGTGTCTCAAAGGCACCACTAAGGCTACCAATGCTGCCGCCAGAAACCAAGAACTGTAAATCGCCAAACGTGAAATATTCAGCTGGTCCTTGTAACGGCTCAGCTAGGCAGCAAGAGAGTGGAAAATTATTATTTTTTGTTTCTTTATTTTGTAAAGCAATCAGCTAGGTATGATGCTCTAGTAACCGAGGAGGGCTATTATACATATCTGTGTTCTTGTGTTTTGTTAGATGAGGTAGGTTATGTATGATGCTCAATGCTTACACTCCTCATACCCTTTTAATATATAAGAATTTACTTCATGCAAGTCACTCCAATACCATGAAACTGAAGATAGAAACCTTTTATTATTGTAGACAAACACACCACACAGAACAGTTATTGAACACCAAACCAAACATTACAAGTCCACTTCCTTTTATTGATACTAATATTTGGACAAAGGCAATGCTGGATGTAACCGAGTAACTGGAGTCAGCTACAGCTTAAGGGCTTGAGAATGGTGAGTGATGTGGTCTTCGATGAAGGTGGCAATAAAATAGTAGGAGTGGTCGTATCCTGGGTGCATACGCAGTAAGAGCGGCGCATTAACTTTCTTGCATGCCTCTTCAAACTTGTTTGGCAATAACTGATCTGGGAAGAACTGGTCGTTTTCTCCCTGCATTTAACAAAGCAGTGATTTGGCTCACATGAGATGCGGATACTACTTCATGAGTGTTCATAAGCTACAAGTGAATACAAAGAAGAAGACTAAAAGGGTATTTACCTGATCAATAAGAATAGTGGCAGACAGATTGTTGAACTTTGAAATAAGACAAGTGGCATCGTACTCCTGAGATTCAAAAAAAACGCAGAGAATGAAATCACTCTAGTGTGGCGACTATATGGATACATAATCAAATCTTGTAAGGTTATGTTTACCTCCCAAGCAGCCTTGTTATCACCTAGATAATTGGTGAATGCTTTGTGTCCCCACTGGCAGTTTATGGGATTGGCAATTGGTGCAAATGCTGACACAGACTGAAAGTGTCACACATCATCAAGTGTCACAAGCAAAACCACATACTCTTAAAGCAAATAAGAACAAGGAAATACACAAAACAATACCTTATACTTGTCTAGGTTCTTCAGGTAAATAGTAAGTGCTCCATGTCCACCCATGGAATGTCCAGAGATAGATGCCCTAGTTGTGTCAAGCTGGGAAAAGTTCTCACTCAGGAGTTTCGGCAACTCTTTGACTACATAGTCATACATACGCCAGTTCTTCCACTTCTCCTGAGTAGCATTGAGGTAAAACCCAGCTCCTACTCCATATAAAACAGGAAAGAAAAAGAATAAAATCATCACAACTTCATGGCAAGAACTACCTGAATAAAATTAAGCTCAAAGCTACAAACTTAGTCAGAACAAGAAGTGTGTCGAAATGCAACGCATAGGCATGTAATGTAACGTTGCATACCTACACCAAAGTCATAACTATCTGCTTCCCCTTCAACATTCAGTCCTCCTACAAATATCAAAACCCAGATGGTTACAATACAAACCGGGTAAACAAGCAAAGACATTATATAATGTGGCTCACTTGGAGAAGTATCTGGAGCAACAAGAGCAATGCCGCGAGTAGAAGCAGCACGTTGAGCACCGGACTTAATAATGAAGTTCTCATCAGTGCAAGTGAGACCAGAGAGCCAGTAAAGCACCTATCAAATCAACAAAGAGTTCAAACCAATCCAAAAAAACTTAAAGTCTGCTTCTTTAAGACATGAAAAGATAAACCCTTGTCTAATTTATACATAAAGATCAAAACTTTAGATATGAAAATGGATCTACATGACTAAAAGAAAGGAAATTGAGAAGGTAAGCATACAGGGAATTTACGGGAAGATGAGGTAGAAGAAGGAGGGAAGTAGATGGAGAAAGTCATGGAACAGCCAAGTGTCTCACTGTAGTGTTTGTATCTTTTGTTGAAGCCATCGAACATCTTCGTGCTTCCGATCTCGCTTAGCCCACTCTCCATTTTCTCTCTCTCTCAATAACTTCACTCTCACAGATGCAGCGAAGGAGAAGAAGAAATGATTGATGGAGGAGAGAAAAGTCTATCGCTTTCTACAGTTAATGAGAGCCCATTAATGTATTAGGCCCATTAATGGAGCGCCCATTCGATTAACTAAGTCCATATGGTTTAGTCGAGAGTCTCTGAATGGCACAGAGGTTTTGATTTGATTAATAGGATAAAGCTGTAACTTGGGCATACACATGTGTGTTTGTGTGTAATGTAGCTGACCCTTTTTTTGTAGTATTTGAAAGAGGATCTACTGCCCAACTGTTCTTAAAACAATGATTAATTGATTTTTTTTGTTTTCTCATTTGTAAAGAATAAAATAAAATGTGTTGAGGGATTTTTTTTTTTTTTTTGTCAACCGGTTGTGGGAAATTAAATGATTATAAATTGTGTTTATATTGTTAGGTGATCAAATCATTTAAATGTGACATATCACAAGATAATGTACGTGTTTCTTGAGAAGGACCCATTTATTTATTAGTATGTAGGTTCTCTCTTTTACAACATAACATTTTCACATAAAACCAAGATTAAATAAATTATTATTTTTCAAAAAAATAATATAAGAAATATAATTCAATTAATAACTATATAAATTAATCGATTCAACAGTTTCTAATAAATATAAATTGTATAATAATATTTTTTTGGGTGAATTAGCTCAAAATCGTATAAGAAGTAACAAATTAGGCAAATGCCTATGACACAAATATTGTGGGGGCTTCTAAATGATCCAACATAGAGAAAATGTCAAAATTGACCTTATGTCTATAAAATAGAGTACGACAAAACCGGTGATAATAGGTTAGAAACTGGATAAAAATAATAATTTGGGGAAAAGCGTAGTGATCTCTCTTTCTCTCTATTATCTTTCAGAGGAGGAAGTTGCGTTCTTTCCCATGACGGATCAATCCGGTGAGGTTTTCACCATGTATCAGGTTTGTTTCCGGCAAGGGGTTGCTCTCATGGAACCATCTTAGCCGCCTTTGTCTCCCGCGTGTCGGGCTTCTCTTCCGGTGAACGACGGTTTCCTCAATATCGTTTCTGCTGGCGTTTTACGAATCATTGGACATCCAATGATTTTGTCTAGTTTCTTTTCCCGGATCTTGTCTTTTTTTTTTAGTTACTCTGAATCAACCCCGCTTGTCTTTTAGAAAGGTTTCAATCGGATTAAAATCTTAGATCCATTTGTTTCACCATGCCCTCTCTGTTAGGATTCAATCATCTTCAAGCTTCTTTATAATTTAAAAGATGATTTGATTTGCATGCAAGGATTTGAGACTTTCGTTTGCTTTTATTTGTTTTTTTTTTCTGATGTGGGTTTACGTTAGCAAGTAAAAATGTAAGTTAACTGGCTTTAAAAAGTAATGAACTGCTAAATATTTTTATATATTAATGTCGAAGATTTTTAGCATGTATATCTGAGATTATTGCATATGCTAAATAAGTTATTGATAAATTAAAGAAAAATTTGCACTGATCCAAAACAGAAAGTGTGTTAAAATAATAAGTCAGTTAGCAAATATTGGTGTCGTAGATGGTGGCTTGAAACTGATGGCTAATAGTTTATTTATAATACATGATTATTTTCCAGAGATGGTGGCTGCTGAGGGATTGGAATTAGCATCAATGGATGCAGTTGGAATTAGCATCAAAGTGAAGGGAGTGGAATTAGCATATGATGAAGTTAGCTATTTGCTGCAAAGTGAAGGGAGTTGGGACTAGCAAGGCTGGTCAGCGGGCAACAGAGACTTCCTTTGAAGGAATTAGTACAAAAGGTGGATATTGAATATTTGTGACAGTTTGGAGCATGGTTAGTTAATGAAATGGTTTGTGTTTTTTTCAAGTGCTTCAGTTTGAATGTTGTGCAAGTGAAATGATCGGTTAGGGGGAAGTTTAGCACCTGATTTTGTGGTCTTTTTGTTGGCTAAAATTTATCTTAGCTTGTTAAGATGCAGTAACGGCAAGAATTATCCAAATGTTGTACGGATATGAAGTATTGTAAGGTTGTATGTCCATGTTATAATAAAAATTGTCTCCTTACTTTGTCGTGTAAATTTAATTTCTAGACTGCTAAATGTATTTGTATCAATGTAGACGAGAGAAAAATTATGAAAGCTGAACACGTATTTATATGTAGTCTAATACAAGTAGGATGATTTTAAGATAATGAAACAAGAATGTTGTTGGCAGACTAAAAGATACTGCCCAAGTGTTAATATATTGATAGCATTTTAAATTGTGACAGTAGTTTTTAGAATTATTCTTAGCCAGTTAAAACAATGTCGAGTCGGTTAAAACAATGTCGAAGCGTCTGAAACAAGAATGTTGTTGGCAGGCTAAAAGACAATGTCCAAGTGTTAACATAATGATAGCATTTTAAATTGTGGCAGTATTTTTTTAAAATTATTCTTAGCCGGTTAAAACAATGTCGAGAGGCGTACAAACAATTTATTGGCAATGTATATGTCGTTAATTATAAATATGTTGTGGAACCTCCAATTTAAATCCTGACAATTGCTTGTGATTTTACTTTACTCGGTTTGTTTGCTTGGTGTTGTAATAGCCTATCGTGTGTGTAGAAAGGAGATTAGCAAATATGAAGCACAAGCATACAGTCTCTAATTAATGAGCTTGTAAATAAACAAAAGATTAACGACATAGATATGGAAACACAAACAAGAGACCAACACATAGTCATCCAACTGAGCTGGTCATACAAGGTGTCAACCCAACATAACTTAAAGGTTAAAACTTACAATTCAACGACATCACCAAGTAAACTACAAAAGACTCACAAGATAGCCCAGCAAGCATTCATGTCCCTCGCCAAATCAATCATAATCTTGCTCTGTTCGAGCTTCTCCAGACCAACAATATCAGATTAACCTCCAATAGCTCAACTTTTAAATCACTAACCATACGTTTTAAATCCTCAACCTTTCAACCAAATGTTCATCAGTCCAAGTGAACAAATAGATTTTATCATGTGGTGTATAAGCTAAAAATCTAAAGATCCGCACCAATTTAATCATTAACTAGATACATATGAATTGAAAAAAAAAAACCCTGTTTTTTTGGCAGCCAAAGTCTTAATAACAGCCTCCTCTCGACATCGACAGAATTTCGGAATGTTATTGTCAACAGGACATCATCTGCGGGAAATGGAACTGACCCCTTTTGTCCAGCACTGTTGTTAACATTGTCCTAGGCAATAAATTAAAAATTAGTACACAACCTGCTAGGATCACTAAGTAACAGAAACCAATGAAAAAAATCAGCTGAAAAAGTATTGAAAACGGCAACACACCAAGGAAGAAGACTCGCTGGTAAAGATAAGAATACCCACCAACACCTATTTAATTATACAATGTGGTTGTTAAGTAAACCTCAACAGATGAAATAACCCACAATAAAGCTGAGATCTTTCAATACGATTAGAGATCACAACTTCGTTATCAAAGTGCCTCACACATCATACACATACTAAAGCTAACGTTCCTCCATCTCAAGGACTAATCAAAAGTTATGGTTAAAAAAAGGTCATCTTTTCGAATCGGGTAGTCTCTTTGTGAGGCAACTTTGACCTTAGGACGTCTCCTTGAACACAAGCTGCTAACACACACACCAAGAATCAAGCTTAAAACAGGTCAAAGACACAAACTTTCTGCAGAGTCAAAACAGAGGAAACAGAGCAGACAAGGAGCTAAAGAAAGATGAGCAAGACAAGCGATTGTTAACCCAGTTACACCCGTTAACAAGGGTGTTAGTCTGGGCCGGGATCTGTCTCCCGGAATCCACTAGATACAGAGGTTACAAGAGAGTTATCACTCACCTCAAAGCCCTTACAAGAAACTTCTCTCGGTTACTCTCTACCTCTACCCCAAGAGCTAAGTACAAGTTTATGCTGTATACAAAGCTCTCTACTGTCTCACACTCATCTCTCAGTACAATGTAACAAATATATAAGACAAGACCTTTAAATGACCTAGATGCTTTGATGATTCCCTTTAGATGCCACTTCAATGCGCCTCTTGTATGGAAACAATCAATAAACTCTCCCTTAACTTCTAGTTCAATAAACGACACACTGCAGTTTGCTTTTGCCTTTATGGGCTGGAGCAGAACGGCTAGTCTCTGTGGTCCTGCACTGAGAGGACTCCACGTGGTCTTGTCCAATAACACACATTGTAACTTGTTCAACACGTCTTGGTCTTCTTTATTCAAACATGATCTTCTTCACTAAGACTTAACACTCTTAATGATCAATCCATTGTTGAGAAAAGAGAGAGAGAGAGAGAGAGAGAGAGAGAGAGAGAGAGAGAGAGAGAGAGAGAGAGAGAGAGAGAGAGAGAGAGAGAGAG